CACGGGGACGCTTCCGACAAAGGGTCTTAAAATATAACGAGCTCTATTATTAAGTAATGTTCAATTAATGAGGGAGCTGTTTATTTAGACGTTAAAACTGTACTCACTTTACCTGTTATTGCCTGTGTTGACAAAAAGTATATATCTTGTGCCGAGATCAAGTACGGCACACACTATGCTGGTCACTACTACATAAAAGCTCAAAAATTAATGGCAGGTACGAATTATGTTTGTAATCGCTATCGGAGGCTGGTACGACCTGGTGTGACTAAGGGTAAATGAAACGTTTAAAACGTTTATATAATATTTATACGAAAGTATATAAGTGTGCGGCATTTCTTTCTTTATACTAATCAAACCTCGCTGCATTATCATCGCGTCTGGGCTTGGATGCAGTTATACATAAGAAAATTTAAGCGATCGTGCCGGTAGGTTAAATAGCTGATAATAGAAGCATTGTCAGGTACTATCTGACTCTATCGTCACTGACTTTTTCTTTATAGTGTGCAACTAAACAAATCTCGTGTGCGGTCTAATGTTTATGATGCTGTTTTTAACATCTCGTGCATTTTATACGTAGACATGAGGGACCACAATCGTTGTTTTTGAAGACAGTGGATAAGGAGAAACGATGCTACTCACTTTTGCTTCTGGAATAATGCTTATCAGTATCATTGCTGGTGTTTTTTTATATGACGTATATAATATCGACATAGGTATCGTGCTTAGCCCTAATATCGCTATGATATGTAATAGAAGACAATATTGTTGTCTTATACTATGCGTGGTATGTTGGGTTTGTAAGTGAAACCGAGTTTCAAACGCAAGCACTGCCGTTAACGCTATCTTTTTTATATCAAAATACTTTCATTAAGCTTGCTGCATGAGCTCAACATTGTTATCGCTCATGGACAGACCTTGCTTGAGGTCAAATGCAACATCAGACGCCCGGCCGTCGACATGTCACATTTGAGGCATAAGAAGTCAGCGTCCTCGTAGCTGGTTGACTTAGCAGTAGACATGTAGATATATCTGAGTAGTGATATAAGATCACATTTCGTACACGGCCCCCATTCACTCTTATCAGAAAGTCTCTATCCACGAGTGCGTGTCATCTCTCGCCGCATGCCGCACACGATTGATTTTTATAAAGCATGTGTTCGAATCAGCCACTGTGTTTTAACTCTCTCGTACAGAAGATTAAGAGTTTTCGCCTAAAAAAATTCTGTTGCACTGGTGGTAAGCCTAGTGCATGACCAACTTTAACAACACATTGACTAAGTAAGCAATAGACAGTCACTGATAATTTATACCTAGCTTTTCTGTTTTCTGCTGTGACGGACTTCGACACGAGGAACCTGATACGTTATTCGATTTTTTAGATGCGACTTGCTTGGTGTTGACTGGAATCATCGACTAAATTTTCATGATACTTTTGCGCTGTCTCGTTCTTGAAGTATACCAGCGTTAATTCGTTTGTATTTCGTAAGTATCATGACTGTTAGCATTTGTACATTCCTAAATTACTGCAAAATGATTAACTGATTATATTATATTGGGGGTAATTTCGCATATGTATGTGAATGAGTTTAATACTAATTTGTACAAACATTTATTTATGAATGTGCCAACTTTGTCGGGATGTTTTACAATATGCAACATAGTATGCCCAAGACTTGGACACTGAATGTCGATCAAACATATGTCTAAATTTGTTCCGACAAAACATCTCGGATTCCTGTCGAAATGAGATTGCCTTACCCCTGTCAGTCCGAAAGGCCGAATCTCCAAAACTGATCGATCATGTATTGGCTATGATTACATAACAATCGCCCATCGGTCCACCATCGCATACTGAGGACAAATTTATATTTGGTTGTCATATTCGCGCATATAGCCATCAATACGACATAAGATTGTAAGTCGATCCATTAAAATATTACGATTGTTTTACTAGCTGTCATCTGCTCATATTGGGCTTTGAAATTAGCATCATATTTTATTTTATCCTAAGTATCATGTTACTATAATTCAGTTAATTTTACGAAAAAGCATTGGCATTCGTTTAGGCTTTAACGCAAATTCGACCAACGGACACGACTTCCGCATTCCAGATATATTTCATGACAACCAGAATAATAAAATAAGTGAAACACTCGCTAATTTACCCGCATGATCACTGTCACGCTGATTTTTTTGGCCCAGACTGCCTAAAGATGTCCCACTTTACCCTAGGTATTACACCGACTGTAAATTTAAATGCACGGCTTTAGATTGCACTGACCACTTCCTTTCATCTGTCTTTTTGTTATGTGACCAGACCATCATATTTAAAGAAATATAAAGTTTTACCGCGTAATGAACTTAGTCGCTCCTTGATTGCTCAACGTTGCCATTAAACTAGTCTGCATGCAACGTGATACATATTATTGATATCGTTCGGAACTTAGGAGACCGGATGAAATATCGATATTTTGATCGCCGCCTCCATATACATAATGTATTATATTCACGCTTCTCTCAAGTTTCTAGGTCCAACTACCGCTTGTGCTGATTCGACGTTACAATATAATGTTTGAAGCATCCTCTACAAAACTAATAACCGACAAATAAATAATGTCGATATGGCTTTATTATGCTTATCATAGGCTCACTCAGTCTCGTTTATTATTCAATATATCACTGAAACAATTACTGGCCAATACGTGTCACATCAGAAAGTACTGAGCAAAAACAATGTTCGCTTACGTCGTAATATTTTAATGGATCGACTTACAATCTTATGTCGTATTGATGGCTATATGCGCGAATATGACAACCAAATATAAATTTGTCCTCAGTATGCGATGGTGGACCGATGGGCGATTGTTATGTTATCATAGCCAATACATGATCGATCAGTTTTGGAGATTCGGCCTTTCGGACTGACAGGGGTAAGGCAATCTCATTTCGACAGGAATCCGAGATGTTTTGTCGGAACAAATTTAGACATATGTTTGATCGACATTCGGTGTCCAAGTCTTAGGCATACTATGTTGCATATTGTAAAACATCCCGACAAAGTTGGCACATTCATAAATAAATGTTTGTACAAATTAGTATTAAACTCATTCACATACATATGAGAAATTACCCCCAATATAATATAATCAGTTAATCATTTTGCAGTAATTTAGGAATGTACAAATGCTAACAGTCATGATACTTACGAAATACAAACGAATTAACGCTGGTATACTTCAAGAACGAGACAGCACGAAAGCAGCATCGACCTTTTGATTCCCAACAACCAGAGTAATTGAACAAACCAAACTCCTTTTTCGTCGAAAGCTCCTCGTGTGTTTTTTGTAGCGCATCGGGGTCGCTATAAGCATCTTGCACGCCACAAAATGCATGTTCGGAATGTCCGCGCACTACAGTTGCCTTGCACGCTCGGACGTCCGACGCTTCTCCACGAGCAGCAAGATTTTATTTCTCAGGTAAATATATGTACAATAAATTATGTCTGGCGCCCATTGATTTACTGAAGATACACATTTTAATGTGATCTGTTTCCTTTGTTATATGTTTTCTACCCAGGGTTATTGCCAATGACTAAGGGTCGAGGCCATAACTGTAATAGGGCACCGATGATGCAATTAAACTGTGAGCGATACCTACACTGAAGACAATGTAATCAGGTGTGCCGCTATACCTCACGCACACTGTACGCGTGGAGTGATATGAGGTAATAAGCATACACGCTTTGTAAAAGGGAGATGCAGAACTCGACTCAATCTGTAGTTAAAGTCTTTTTTTAGTTACCGCTTTTTCCTTATTAATTACAATAATTAAAGGCTATTATTATAGGTACCTGCTCACCGCTCATTGTGCGCATAAAGCAGTGATGGGTGGTCCAGTTGGTCGATATGAAATTATGTCAATCAATAGGTGGGGCTTGCCGCAGATTACTATTAACTGTAATACATCTTCGATATTTACTTAGCATTGCAAAAACTGAAGAACAGTGTAAGCAAAAACATTATTTTACATTGACTCATTGTGGTCCCAATGACATGTAACGCGCTCATGCCGATAAAACAACCCGATGATATTGCAAGAAGCGCCATCAATACCTACTGCACTACTCAGGAAGTAGTAGCAAAAATGACCGAGCGAGGTCTCATTATAAAGTCTTATTACAGAAAACAACGGAGTAGCACTAATTGGGCAGCATCGACATGCCTATTGCTTTCTTCATGGTTAGCGCTCAGACCGAACGAGGAAGAGATGACTGCCTAATTCATTTGCTTAGCAGCAAATAAAGCTTCCCTAAATATTTTAATCTCACGCTCGCTGCAGTGCCGCCGGTCGCATTTTGTTGCGAACAACACCAACGAGTTGCCTATCACGCAACATTGGCAACTTTATGGTTTCTATACCTCACAATACACAACCCGTCCCCCACGCTGCCAATCTCACCCATCCAAAATGAAAATCCAAATCTTGATTTGGTAAAGAAATTAATTCTATATACTGTATGGCAAGCTCCAGAGCTGCTTCTCCATCATGAAGTGTGACGGTCTATCAATGGGTTTGGAAGATACTTATATACACTTCTCACGCGATTGTTGTTAATCCTGAGGACCTGGCAGCCATCCTGACTTGGTGTAATCTTTGCAAAGTTCGTTGTTAACTATACTGTCGGAGAGCGTCCGGCGAATAGAACGGTGGCGTAGTATACAACGCTGCACTAGAGGTCGTGAAAACGGTTTTTTGATACCAGGAGGTTGCACCAATAATTTAGATAGAGTCGTAGACGCAAAAGTGCGTTTGTATATGAAAACATTGATCCGCTGAGGAAGAAGGAGAGTTGATATTTATACATCACGAAGACTGCGATACGACTATCGGCATCGCGATATTGATGGTGGAATGCACCAATGTCAAGCGACGCACAGACTTTTGGTCTTGCGGTATAAACGATGTAAAACACGACAAGCTCGGCAAGCAAATTTTTCTTAGTCGTTTTTACAATTTCTGCGAGAAGTCATAGCGCTAGCTCTTTCACCTTCGGCCGCTTCGGTCGGGCTTCCGACTTTGTGCTGAATATCCTCGGCCACGCCTTTCTTCACTAGCGTGTATCCCATTACTATAAACAGGAAGTACCAGTAAACGTGCAGCACCACGAGAATGCATAGCATGGCGATCATCGGAAGTACAAAGACGACAACAACGTCCAAGTGATTGTGCGACAAATGACGTATCGCAGCATAGATGAGGTGGCACGGGAACACAAAAAGCCGCGTGTACGCCCAGGACACGAGAAGCATCAAGTACATAAATGTTATCAGCGGTGTCTTGCCAGTATCCACAATGGACTTAATACCATCTGATGAGCCGAAACGCCCCAACGACACAATCATCAACGAAGTTAGTCGCTGACCCTGACAAGTTCTACATCCTTCTGGCACAGCAGACTTACATCCAGTGACGTCACCGATGTCATGTGTGAACACCACGAGCGCGCCAAATGCCGTGTAGTTGGCGAGAAATGATCCAGCAATCAAAAGGATGGTAGCTAGGTGGTGCAGGAGCATCTCGACAAAATCATTGCGAGTCGGTGAAAAGAAGACCATGAACAACAAGCTGTGCAGGTGGTACCCCAGCTGCACGAGGAAATAGTACTTGAGCGCACTGGACGGCGGTCCCGACAACGTCTCGAACGACTTCATGACTTCGCCCTCGCCTCCAAGTAAAACCGGGAACCATTGTTCGTTACGCATGACCGTGAAGCCCACTACGGTAATGCATGCAAAGTAACTTTGATGTCAAGCAAAACGTGTTTCGTGAGCACATTACATTCAACAAACGCGAATAACAGCGTCAAAAGCACTCACATAAACTTGAACGACACGGCGGTGAAGCGGTGGACACGGGCCTCGACCACTCTCTTCTGTGGAGAGAGTACAGCCTTTCCCAGAGGTAAGAACGCTTGTCCCGTGATACAACGCGCGCCCATGAGCACCAAGGAGACTGCACCGCTGACCAACAGGTCGGCAAACTGCGGCATGCCTGGGGTATCGTCTTGAAAAGCTTTGTTATTGATGCGCGCAAGTGAAATGCCATAGAGCTCCACCAGAAGAATGGGTACGAGCGTTAACGTCATGACCACCAGTACATATTCCTTGGCGCTCAACCGAATTCTCATCTCTGTCGACATGGCTGGGCCAGCGAATTTTAAGAGTGAGTGTCGATTGTGTCAGAGCGGGTGCACCATCCTTTTGTGTCAATCGGCCGTCGTTTTATGTGCATATGGAGGGCGACAAAATGCCGATCGCTATGTCCTACTGCTCCTTAACTGCGGTCAAGTCTGGTTTCTATTCTCAGTCGCATTCGCTGCGATCCGCTCTTTTTAGTGATAGCGTTGACCGTCAATTTAACAAGGCGGTCCCAGATCACATTGAGGGCTGCTTAGCCACTCAGAAGCGATTGGTGTCATGACGTGGGTTTATTGCCTCACGTTCTCGCGTCGCTAAAATGCCGAGCTAGGAGGTCAAATGTCTGTTGGTTCAAGTTAGCTGTGTCAAAGTCGCAGAGTGTACAGGCCAGTAAGCGATAGCACGGGCTATCGAAGAAGCCTCGCGAGAAACAACATTTGACTGCACTGCCGATCAGATTAGGATGAGTGTGCCCACCTAAGACCCGTGCTATAGGAATCATGAATCGTGATACCAATAATTGAATGGATAATTGGTAGCAAAGTCTTTTGCGCGTTTAATATTGCATGAATAGTCTACAGGAACTTATTTCTATTCCACCTGACGCGGCAAGTCAGGTCAACATGCGTCAATAAGGCGTCGGAACTGATATCCTGGGTGCCTCATTGATGCAATATGCTCGACAATCCTTCCCATCGCCCTAATTAACATCATCGATGCTATATACTATACCACTTGCTTGCAGCAAGCAGGGGGCCTTTATATGCGAGCTCATGACTCATAGCATCTTCGGTCATGTAGATGGATTAAGATGAAGATCACCACTTTATATAGGTGGCTAGCTTATCTTGCGTACAAGCATCTTTGTTTGTGTAACAACGAGTTGTATAGACTTCCGTTGGTTGTACAACACCATACCGGAAAGTGAGTGGAAACACTCAAAGCATCGTACCTCAAATTAGATCCAAATGAAGCATGGAGAAATCATAGCTTGGGAGCTGCATTGGATAGGTTCAGTTAGCGATTACGCATTTATACCGGTACATTAACAAGAACCGTGGACAAACTCGTACTTTATCAGACACTACCTTATATCCACTCATTATCCGCGGCACCCTGTCCACCAATTTTCTCAGCTAATTTCTGCAATTACGTCTCATTCGACCTTTTGCCATCGACACGCCTGACTTGATCAGGTCAGGCACGTCATGAAAATGTCTCGTGATGCCGAGTGGCGTTTGAATGGTTGTGAAACGGCTCTGACCTGATGGTTGTAGTTCGCTTTCCGTACGTGGGTTCATGTTAAATATTAGAAAAACTCGTTGTCTTGTGTGTGTGTGGTATCGCTAGCTGAGGGTATGATGATTCAATAATGCATAGTTCAACTGAATGTCAAAGACTGCTGTTGAGAACATTCCATCAAAGTCTTTCGCTCCTATCTGATCTCAGCAAAAACCATCTAATGTGTGTCGATATTGTCTATAGGTAAAACAACGGTACATGTCATATAAAGCATTAACGTCGACAGTAGCCCAACGCTCGGACGTTTGAAAAACGTCTGTCAAAGGGATACGAGTATATGTAGCGTGTGAAAAGTGTATAAATACGTGAGGTTCGTGTCGATCGCAATTGAAATGATGTCTACAAGATAATCCAACTCTGAAGCCTATGTGTAGAGTAAATTCTGAGCTTTTTAACACTGATCAATTGCAACAAATATAAATGTCTATAAATCTAGGTCGTGTTGTCGCTCGCTCATGTCTTTGTCGTAGCTTAATTCGCCCCCTTTACCACAGCCTTGTTTTGGCGACGAACGTACAGTCGGCTAGAAATCGACAACGTCACCCAGCTGGATGCAATCGCAATTGCTTCAAACGTCGATGCTTATATACATATAATGTGCAATGTGGCGACTTGAAGTAGTCGCGTACCCTTATTGCACGAATTTTGTCTCTATCATCCTCGTCGAGCAATATGCCTACTGACCATTCGGCATTCGCCTTAAACCTTGGTGCTCACTCATTGAACATTGTGCTATGAAGCCGCCTTCCTCGTTCAACTTCGGAGCAATCTTTAACACTAGAAAGATGGCAGACTCCGCTCCATGTGCACCCTCGTCCCCAGTGTCATCCTTACTGACGCTCAGATACCCTCGCGTGGTATAATGAAAGTACAGCCATTAATGCTTTACTTACCGCTGCATCTACAATAGCTTCCCCTTTAGAGGTTGACCGACATAAATAAGGCTAGGAGGTTTCACAACATTTCCCCCATACCTACTGCATTTACTCGCTTCTAGACAGCAAGCAACCGAACCGCCCACACTTCCCATCAATCAATTTTGGCTACTCTCTCTGATGCTAACTGCGCTCCTTTAGACGCCGACTGTACCAGTACCAACGAATTGTCGAAATTTCACTACGCTACCAGCTGTAAAGGTTTGTGGCCGCTCTGCAGTCTTGTCGCGTATATACGCTCTACGTCGCTATCGTCGTTGCGACGACTACGCAGAGGTAATCATGAGATACATATCGCGTTCCGATCGACAAGACTCTTAACGTCTTGTTCAAAATCTTAAGCGCTGGTGTAATACACAAGTCCTCGTAGAGGCTCTGCTAACGACAAAAGAATTACCTATGTACATTGCGAAAGGGTCAATAAGCGGCTATGGTCGACTATGTTCGTTTCACTCAGTAGTCAGAGGCACAAAAATAAAACTTATGCGTCCATATCGACATCCTTTCGTTGGCCTCACACACTAGCACACTCCAGCTGGCAACTCTTCACCTCGGACACCGGCAATGAGATTAGCAACAGCGATATCCGCCATGGCTTGCCTAGTCTTCATCGTGGCTGAGCCGATGTGTGGCATCACAACGCAATTATTCAGCGCAAACAATGGATGAGTAGGGGAGAGCGGTTCTGGCGTCGTCACATCCAAGCCAGCAGCTGCAATTGACTTGGCTCTGAGAGCTTGCACAAGCGCATCCTGCTCTACTAGCTCGCCTCGACCAGTGTTTATCAAAACAGCGCTAGGTTTCATAACTTCTAGCTCTCTCACACCAAAGCTTCCGTGAGTCACATCTGTTAGTGGCTGATGAAGACTTACGATGTCACTTTCACGCAACAGCGTCTGCATGTCCACAAACTTGACAGAATCGAGGTCGCCTCCTAACGACTTAACGTTGCCGGGCTTCTCACGTGGTCCAGTGTACAGAATCTTGCAGTTGAAGCCGTTTTTCATCATGCGTGCATACGTCGTTCCAATCCGTCCGAGACCAACTACGCCAACCGTGCTGCCAGTGACATCGGATCCACAATACTTGAATGGCCGCCAGACACCCCACTCTCCAGCTTTAGCGCTTGCCGCGCACTCGAGCAGTCGTCGTTTGGTTGCAAATGTTAGTGCAACCGCTGTCTCAGCAGTCGAAGCGTCCAACACACCGGGGGTGTAACCGACTTTCACGTTACGCGATCGACAAGCATCCACATCGATGTGGTTGTAGCCAACGGACATTGTGGAGACCACACGAAGAGCAGGCCCAGCAGCGTCTAGAACTTCAGCATCAACTTTGTCCGTTATCAGGCAAAAGATTCCTGCACATCCTTTTACCCGCTCGAGAAATTCTTGGCGTGGGATGCTGCAATCCTCAGAAGCAAAAGACTCATCCAAGAGCGGATCGAAAAGAGCCTGCCCACGTCGCTGACGGAATTGCTCTACACAGCAGCAAGTCAACCGTTTTCATGACCCAAATAATATGCCCCAAGCAGAAGAACTCCCGGTGGCCTACCTATTGCATACGGCACATTACGAGTAAAGAAGACCTTGCGAGACGCGGTGGAAACCATCACGAGGACGACGAGGGTCGGCTGACTGCGGAGAAATGATTTATAACAATCCGATATTGCGGAAAATATTATATACGTCATCTTTTCTCTTTTGCAAAATGTAATCAAGAAATGGTCACAGAGCGGGAAACCGTCGTTTTGCAACAGGACTATCCCGTTTTATCGGACACAAATATGATCGTAACTACTGATCGTAAGCGCTTGATAAATCAATGTTTCGGTAGTTTTCACGCCCAGCTGATGTCTGCTAATATATGTATGTCATTACATCCTTATCGACTGATCTTTGCAATCAACGAAGAAGGTGGCAATGAATGCTAAAGCTTGCAGCCTCGTTTTTTACAACAGGTGCAATTTATCAAATTGGCAAATATGAAAGCTAACACGAAATTGATCGTTTTTGTTATTTGGCGTGTATGTATGATTCGTTCGTCGCTTCCACATCAACTGCATCTACTACTGCTGGTGTTCCAATTTATAATTACATCAAGTTTATGTAATCGGGCATGCCCGATCGACGCAGTTGTATCGTTCACCTTATTGACGAACCCACTTTCCATGATCAATCATTGCAGTATTCAAATTTTCAGTTATGCGCCGCTATTTCGAGCGCTGAATACCGCAGTAGTTTGTGCGCGAGCGAGCTAAGAATTGTGTTTAATCTGGTTTCATTGATACAGGGACTTTTTGAAATAACTCATTATCCTCTGCCAGCGAAAAGGTATAGAAAGTCTTCCTTCATGTAAATCATCAATAAATATGTATGAGATGCAATTAAACAAGCTTAAAATTAGGACTGACTGTTGTCAGGGAGCCAAAGCCGCAGAAACCTTCACGAATCTCGGTATCTGCTATGTAAATATTGAATCCATTTTAAAGCTACACATAAATATGGAGCAACATGATTCGGAAGTTAAAATCGGATAATGATTGAAGAGCAGTTTTATATTGACCCTACAAAAAGCACTGTCAGATAAGAAATGATACACTCAATATTTGACAAACTTCATTAAATACCTTACATTACGCGGAAAACATTCCAACGATGCACATCAAAAGAATAGAATACGACCAATTTTTCACATGCTGGAATCATTCACTTAATTCACGTGTGATCTGCTTCCTTCCATCACTTCTACAATTAATTAAAAATCTACACATCCATTGTAGACACTCCAATAGCACGGAGAAAACTTCGTGGCGACGCTTTTGGTGGAGGCTTACAGAGTTTTTATAATTTAACGCAAGTCATCGTTGCTTCATACTCTTTCGTATCCTTTTAAATTATCCTTTGCATCAAAGTGTCGGTCTCGTCTCAACTATTACGTCTTAATTGGATAAAAGAAGTCGGCACCGTGTTCAATGACGCGTACAAAAGTGCTCAAAGTGCGACCCGATGTAGCATGTTATGACATATATTTAAGAAAAAATATTAATTGTGAAAAGATTGTGTAGCTATATGGTTCTCTTCGGAAAGCTAGTGGCGAAAAAGGTCGAAAGCCAGTACGTCGCCCAATAATATGATCGGATATCAATGGTCGAGAGGCTAATTATTGATTGGTTGTACAGCAAAATAAATGTTCGAATTAAGATCGCAAAGTGATTAATTCAATTTGTTGGCATGTTCGCTCTGTTTTATAGATTATCAAACAGCAGATCATACTGATTGCTCAAAGTACGGTAACACAGAATAGATGGGTTGTCTGAATTTTTTCACCTCCGTTATGATGGCGACCTGGTAAGTCTGTTTTTGAGGCAAAAGATTGCTTGTCTAAACAAAAATTCAATACATTGCGAAACCGAATAATCACCATTAAATGACAGTTTTTTGCTCAAAATCACTTAAGTAATACGTGTCATGTAATTATACACTATAGAGTACATACATAAGAATGGCATCCCAAACGTGTATTAGAGGGGCGTGATTTCGTGCCTATGGTACATATCCTTGGTGCACATTTATTAATTAGATAAAAAAAGTGATAATGTACCATCATGTAATCGTTTTAATTTGTATATAATCTTACATTTTGTTTTAACAGCATGTTTTGGTTGCGAAGGGTGTTCAGCTTCATTCCATTATTGCATTATTTCAAAGGCTTTTAAAAGCCCAGTGTAGGAAATCTACTTCCACTTGAACTACATAAACTGATTCATAAGTCATTCATTTTGCGTGTTATTATGCTGTACACGCCTGTTTTATTTCAATCAAAAGTGTTTGCTTTGCCCGTCATGTTTCACTTGTAAAAAAAAGCAAATGCCGATAGTGCGGGGCCTTGTTTTGAATGGACTATATCAGGATAAATGCCCTGTTTATCTTGAGTTTTTGCTGATGCGTTCTTCTTACCAGATGAATGTAAATTCATCGTACTCACACAGATAAAAAGAGTCTGTGTTTTCGAAACCTCATGTACACTTAGCGCTCAGAAATAGTGAATAATATGAGTAGAGTGGCTCAGAAGTTGTTATACATAGGTGGTTGTGGGAGGCTCATGCCGAATTGAGTAGATATAAGTTACCCAAAATTTACATCCTGTTATACTCCTTCACTTCAATGTCCCTCTATAATCGTCTGCTTATCAACCATAACAATAGCCAATCAGGTGACCGTATCTGATGTTCAAAATAACCGTTCACACGGTCCCGAACCGTGCAGGAGAAAGGCATATGTTAGCACTCCCACTCACCGCAACGGCACGGTGACCTGATTCTTGATGCCGTTATCGTCGCGCAAGAATTTAAGCGCCTTGGTCTCGAGTGACTTGGTTCGAATGTCGCAAATTGATTTTTAATGTCAATGTACTTGATCGTGATCGTTCCGCGCTCCACATTCTCTCGGATGAACTGATGGCGAAAGTCCACGTGCTTCGTTCGGGAATGGTAGTCAGCGTTCTGCGCCAGAGCGATCGCGCCGGATTGCCTTCCCAGATTGATGTAGCGCTCTGCTAAAGCAACCCTATGTCTTTGTAGCATTGCACTCATCCACAGCATTTCTCGAACGCAAAGGCTCAAAGCCATGTACCCAGATTCCGCGGAGCTAAGCACTACCGTCCTCTGAATTTTTGACTTGAACACTACCGGCGCGTTCCCGATCATAGCCATGACACCAGAGATTAAACGCCTGTCGTCAACATTCGTTATCCAATCTGCGTCCGAGTACGATCTGAGCGTAACATTATCCGCTCCTCCTTAACAGAATTTCCCGTGCTGTGGTGTTTGTTTATAGGTAGCGTAGCACACACACTGCAGCGTTCCAGTGTTTTTGGCCGGAGTTCATTAAGAAACGCGAGAGCTGAGTGACTACGGACGCTATGTTCGGACTAGTACATGTCGTGATGTACCGTAAGCACCCTGTCAGAGAAAGATATGGTTTTGTCGCATTGCGTTTCGCTCTGAATCCGTTCCTGGTGACTGCGACTTCGACAACCTGAGCCCAGCTGCACATGGGTTTTCGAAATGTTTAGGGTTCTTCTGTACGAAGCGTTTAACCACGTGGTCAATGTACCGTGTCTGCTTGATCCTGGTAGTCCTATCCGTCGTATTATGGTCGATCGCCATCCCCAGGTTTAACTAGCCTGTCCGAGCTCATTAATTTTATAAGCATTCTCCAGCGCTTCCTTCACGTCCTTTATCTCTTCGCTTGTCTAAGCTGCAATGATCACGTCGTCCACATACAGGCACATAAACACGAAACCGTTTCGGGTACGCTTCACATAGTGCACTTGTCCACACCACAGATCTTATGACTTTTTTAAACAATAAGCACGAAGAACTGTCTGGTTCCAAGCATTTGATGCCTGCTTCAAATCATATATAGTCTTCACATATTTGCACAGCATACCCTTAGCGCTCTTCACACCAAATGGAAAATCCGTATAGACAAATTCCACTAAACCACAGTTCAGGAACGGTGTATCCGCTTCCATCTGCTATATCCCATACTTGTATGCCGCGCACACAGCTAGCACAACTCGAATCGAGTTCATCTTTGCCACCGGTAAGTAGGTTTATAAGAAGTCTATTACAATTTTCTGCTTAAACCCTTGAGCTACCAGCGGAGCCTTGTAGCGGACCACTCGACCGTTCTCGTCACCGTTCTTGGCAAACACCCAACGGCACCTAATATGACGGTTAATCGGTTTACTTGGAACGAGAGTCCACGTATGGTTCCGATCACGCGAGAGGAGTTCCGCGTCCATACGCGTACGCTATTCATCTACTTCGTCTTAGCGGCAGCTTCTGCATACGTTTTTAGTGCGTCTGAAAACACCGTTAATACTTGCAGCGTATGCCAAAACAGCCTCCGCAAGCAATCCTTCTTCGTCAATCCTTGCACGCTTCGGCGAAGGAGGTCCATCACTCCATTTATATAGCCGTTCAACATCAGCGTTCACACCGTTCTCAAGCAAAAACACTGGCTCTCTCGAACACTCCGAGCGTGCCGCCCCGGGGGTGGAATTATACGCTATCTTCATTGTACGTTGGTGGCGGCGAAATTAATGCAGCCGGTCCCAGCCCATGGTTAGACATGTCAGATGAAGAATTTTGGGGTTTAAGAGACTCTTCTCAAATTCCACGTCGTCCATCTCCACATCCGGAACAGGTCCCTCGGCAGGTTTCATGGATTTCACAATCGCCCGACGTTCCTCAAGTATTAGAATGGTCCCGTCATCACGCTCAGTAGGTATTTCAATGACCGTTCCTAATTGCGATGACTGCGTGTAATATTACCGCTCACCTCACGCTTGTTCAGCTTAAACGACCGTGACGTCTTGACCTTGGCATCGTTCAAGTCAAAAAAACGATACCCTTTTACGTTCTCGGCATATGCGAAAATACACAGCGAAAACTCTGCAGGCTTCGTTGTCTTTGCATCGTCATCGTGAGCGTGACCCTACGATACGAACACGCGCAAGTGCTCCATGTGGGAAATGACCTTGAAACTCAACTCGTACGGTGTCGAGTCTGCGTGTGCCGTATTTCTGGAACGATTGATACGG